AGTTTTTATTCATTTTAAAATTTGAACAYAAAAATACAAAACAATGTATTTTATAAAGTATGAAAATACAATAAAATTAAAAATTACAATATGGTTAAAGATTTGCTTTATTTTTAAAACTTGGTAAATCTAGTATAGTATGTAATGTTCAATTAAATATTTCCRCCCAAAGCAGATTTTACTGAATCGTAACATTCCAAACATCCAAACAAAATTGATCTTACGTAATGAAATTAATTAATTATTGCTTTCTGTAGTAGAATTCGGCATAAAAATTAACAATTTTGTGAATATACTATTTAGCGATAGTGGCAATCACAGCGCAATGCTCAGAAAATAATAAATATAGGTTTATCCATGATAAAGTYATTAATAGGCTTATCGCTTTTTCTGTCACTACCTCAAACCGGTCTAGGAATATGTTATTCGCCGTCAGTAGTAATAATATAAAATTAATTCATACAAYGCTACCTACCGGCAGCTAWCATAATTAAAATTGTAGTCGCCGAAAATCCCTATAGCATGGTATATCTGTCTATTCTATAATCAATGCTTATACTAATAGACGGGCAATAGTAGCAGTTCGAACGATAGGACGAAAGGGCGCTGCTGGCGGTACACCGTGTACTGCGCACATGCGCTTTAATGAGTATAATATTTTTAAAACCGTACCCGACGTAAAGTACGATAAAATACTATGTATTCTATACCATAGACCTATTAACTAAGTTAGTAGGTACTAAACTAGTATAATAGGTCTATAAAATGAACTCTATTACATTTGATGGATCACATACAAATCTTAGCATGTGTACTAAATTGGGAGCAAATTTTAAATTGAGTAATCCATCAAAACACATCAAAAAAACTCTGAAGAACCAGTTTTTATATTTTATGACCCCTGTCACATGATAAAATTGATACGTAATACCTTAGGAGATAAAAAAATTATATTTAATAGCAAAAGAGAAAAAATTGAATGGAATTTTATTAAAGAATTGTATTATAAAGAAAAAGAAGAAGGTCTAAAAGCTGCAACTAAATTATCTCATAAACATATTTATTACTTTAATGAGAAAATGAATGTTAGGCTAGCTACTCAGTTATTAAGTAATAGTGTTAGTAAAGGTTTATTATTTTGTCAGTCATTAGATTCAAAATTTAATAACTCTGAGCCAACCGCAGAATTTTGCCAATTTATGAATGATGCATTTGACATACTTAATTGCCGTTCAAAATATTCAAAATCTCCTTACAATAGGGCTTTAAGCTTAGAAACATATGATAATTATGCAAATTTCATAAAACAGTTTGAGGAGTATGGCTCAAAGCATGTAGATGGGACCAGAGTTGTTGATTCACTGAGAAAAACTGGTTTTGTTGGTATAGTATGGGCTCTGAAAAATGTATTAAATTATTATAACTTTACTAGCTGAACCCGTGCACTTCGTAGCCCGTTAAAAATCCTATCTCTTTTATGGTCCATAGTTCACATTGTGTGTGGTAAATTCATTTCATGTGATGATGCTAGCAGTATATTTTTATACATAATGATAGATAGTGGTTAAAATATATTATAATCTTACAACGATATTCAATTTCGTATATCATTATGTAATTTTCTTCGTTTTTTCAATATAATGTTGACAATTTAAATATTCAATTCAATGATATTTAGGCATAACACTTTCTAABTTABYAWATCTTYTGYCCATATGTCTAATAAAATTCTGTACCAAATTTTGTCGCAATCGGTCCAGCTGTTTAAAGTTTAAGAATGTATATAGGACTAACAGAAAAATATATATAACTATCACTAATAACACAGAACAATTAATAACCGCTTATAATAACCGTCACTAAAGCAACCATTGGGGCTAGTTCACATGAGAGGCGTTAAACGCGCGTTAGCCAAACGCGCGTTTTTAGTCAGTGTTCACATGAATTACAGATTTTACGCGTTAAGCGCGCGTATAGTATAGTCGTATATAGTATATAGTTATACTATATAACTRTAGTCAGTCGTGTTTTTCATTCCGGCGAAGATGGACGTAGCAGAAGCTGTATGTTTATGGACCTTATATAGACGAATGCAGCGTCGTAGGCAGAGAAATAGGAAATACTGGGTTCATCCTATTTTAAAAAACAGACTAAGTACAAGCTTGTACATCACGCTGTATCCAAGTTTGAGAAATCATGAACTAAATTTTTTTAACWATTTTCGGATGTCGATTAAATCTTTTGATGACTTGTTGGAGCAAATCAAACAAGAAATTGTGGCTGACGAAAATGCAATTAGATATTGTATTTCACCAGGAGAAAAGCTCATAATTACTTTGAGGTATGTTAATTTATTTATTTTAATAACAAGAACATAACATTACAGCATAATATAAGATAACAAGTGTAACATTTTTACTAACGAATATTTATTATAATAAATAATATTTATTATTATATTTATTTTAATAACAAGAACATAACATTACAGCATAATATAAGATAACAAGTGTAACATTTTTACTAACGAATATTTATTATAATAAATAATATTTATTATTATATTTATATCTTAATACATAATATTTTAAAGAACCCTTTGCATACATTATATAATACAATTATTGATAAGTAAATTTTAGTCAAATAAATCAAGTATAGACTGTGCACTGTCTGTTTCACTAACATTTGTTGGCGTTGGTGATGGTGCAGGTGCAGAAGTATTTAGTTGTTTACTTTTATCAGCAAAATTGTGATCATAATGATACCCTTGTGTTGTGGTGTTGTGTGGCRTAGAATTATAACCATAATTTGGATATCCAAAGTTACTTGGCCGATATTGTTGTCCATACATAGCATGTTGATATCCATCAGATGATGATGTCTGATTTTGTAAAATTAAATTGTACATATCAATTTTAAGTTTGAGACGTTTGTCTTCAGGAACTTTTTTAATTTCTTTAACTAGTGATAAACAAAATAGTTTATCTTCATCATCCTCATCTTTTTTTTCGGGAACATATCGTTGAGCCATACTTTTTTCCAATATGTTTGCGAAATGTTCATCTGCTGGATGTAATTTTATTTTTTTTTTGTTTTTACGACAATCTTCTTTAGGACTTTTAAAATTGTCATCTACATCATTTACGTTGTTAGAATTTTTAGTTATTTTTACATTTTCATCATCAGTTGAAAAACTGCTTTCAGTTACGTTATTTTCTACTGACCCTTGCAGAAACCGTAATCTTTCAAAATGTAAGTAAGTAGATTTGTTCGATCTTCCTGAACCTGATTTCACCATTTTACATTTTTTGGCTTCTCTTACATAATTGTCTCGTAAGCTTTTCCACTTTTTTTGTAAAGTTAATCCTAAATAAAATAATATAGTTATAATTATATAATTAGGCATAAGTTTTGAAGAAAAAAATTAAAAATGGTGAGGAAGGAACTAAACTGCATTTGTTCCTAATTATTTTATAATTAAAAAATAGGTTATAAAAATATAAAAATAATATGGTTTTTACAGATACCTAGCAAGTGGATGTTCCATTAGTGAATTACATTATGAGTATTTGATGGGGAAAAGTACTGCTGCTGCTATAATCTACCAAGTATGTAAAGTAATTTGGAGAAAATTAAAAAATATTGTGATTTCTCAACCCACAAAGGAAAAATGGTTAGAAATTTCCAAAGGATTTGAACAAAATGCCAAGTTCCCTAATTGCATTGGGGCACTTGATGGCAAACATATACGTTTGATACACCCTCCAAATTCAGGGTCACTTTATTATAACTATAAACATTTTTTTTCGCTAGTATTAATGGCATTGTGTGACTCTAATTATTGTTTTATTTGGGTGGATATTGGGGCATACGGAAAGAATAGCGATTCTGGGATTTTTAAAGAATCATCTTTGTATACTAAGCTCATTGAAAAAACTTTGAATATTCCTGAACCAAGACCTATTATAGACAACGATGAAATCAAATTGCCATACGTCATAGTTGCTGATGAAGCGTTTGGTATGCTAGAAAACTTGATGAGACCATTTGGTGGAAATTTATTATCGCACGAAAAAAAAATTTATAATTACCGACATACTTTAGCACGACGATATATAGAATGTACCTTTGGCATTATGAGCAATAAATGGCGTATATTGCATAGACCATTAGATGTGAATATTGAATTTGCACAAGATATTGTTAAAGCTATTTGTGTACTTCACAACTACGTCAGAATAAGAGATGGAAATAGTTATGAAGAAACGTTATTTACAGCACCCCTATCAAATTTAACAAGTTCTACTACTGGACGTGCTATACGAGTAGCAGAAAATGTTAGAGTTAAATTTATGAATTATTTTAATAACGAAGGAAGTATAGAATGGCAAAACCGCATGATATAAATTGTAAAAATGTAGTATTAAAAAATAATGTAATATTTTTAGTTTTTATTGTAAAATATTAATAAGAACATAATATTATAATKTACATTATATTGTATTCATTATTAAAATATGCATTTGTTTATGAGTTAAAGTAATAAAGTAATAAAAAATAAGTAATAAAAATAAAGTAATACATACCAAGAACTTTCTTTTTTTCCTCTGTACAACCTTCTTCAGAAAAAATTAGTACTATTTCTTCCCAGGCATTTCTTTTTATTATTTTATTTGAATAATCACGACTGGTCATGTCCCAGATCGAGGKCCTTTTTTCGATTTCATCGATGAAAAATTCAGTATTGAATTCTTCCATTGTACGAGTAGACGAAAAACGACGTAACGCCTTGAAAAACGCGTTGCAACTGAACACGTCAATGCAAACCTGTACAATGTTCAAACGCGCGTCAACTTGGGCTGACGCGCGTTGACAGGGTTTTTGCGTTATCGCTGCGTTGAACGCGCGTCGCCATCCAACGCGCGTTACCATGTGTACAGTTAACAGCTATTAATAGTAATTGTAAACGCCTCTCATGTGAACCTAGCCTTTAATTAAGTTGCAGGGTAGGGCAGCGCAGAACTGCTCCTACGTCAGTCTGCGTTGCACAGTGTTTATGACACAGTTTCCTGCGAATGTGTAGCGCAGTTTTTGAACTTTTTCGACTTTGAATTCAAATTTTTTGTATTAGGTAAGCTTTATATTATGGAAGAAAAACTGATTGAAGCAGTTCGACAATACAGTGTCTTATATGACACTAGCCATCCTGACTACATGAAGGCAAAATTGAAAAATAATATATGGGAAAATATTGCTAATGAATTGAAATTTAAAAATGGTAAGAATATATAAATATAAATAAATTAAATAAATAAATATAAATTTATTATATTATATTATATTATATTATATTTATTTTACTGTTATAGGTTAGGTATAATAAGATTTAATAAAGGTTAATAAGGCATAATCTATAAATACTATCAAAGTATCGCCGGCCCTGTATTTGATAATAATACACTGTTATACATTACAATAATATTATATCGTATACTTAACACTCACTAGTTATTTAAATAACTGAATTGATGACTACTTTTTACATATTTTCTTATCGTAAATTTAATTTTATTACACCAACTAGAAATATTATTATAACGATTCAAGACAATATATAAATAGATGGATATACGAATTAAATATAACACAAATAAACATTTTTCACAAAATTTATATTTATTTTACATGTTATGTCCAAAATTAGTTAGTATTTACCGCTAAAAACACTATCTTTTTGCCAAGGTACGCTTCCTACAGTATTGAAATAATCTGTAAACTTTTTTCTCACCAAAAAAGCACTTGACCCACTTCTACTGTTATTGTTACTTAATGGCAGTAATTGATTGTCTGGCATTATATCATATTCGCCTTGCACATAATTTGAAATTGTTATTTCGTTTCTTAAATAATTATGTAATACACAAGCTGCCTTAATTACATTATCCACACTTTCAATTTTAATTTCGAATGGTTTTCTAAAAACTCGAAATCGTGAAGCTAATATGCCAAAAGTGCATTCGACRGTTTGTCGCGCTCGCGAAAGTCTATAGTTGAAAATTTTATTTTCAAAATTTACCGTTATGTTTCTCTTTGGATAAGGTCGCATGATATTATCACATAACGGAAATGCTTCATCTGCTACAAATACGAATGGTAACGTTTGATTATAATCGGGTAAAGATGCAGGTTGTGGAAGTTGTAAAGTTTGTTTATTCATTTTTCTTGCCAAAGCACCGCTAGAAAAGATATTCGAATCGCTATGTCTTCCCATAGATCCGATATCAACACTTATGAATTTGTAGTGAGCGTCGACAAGAGCCATTAAAACCACAGAAAAGGTATGTTTATAATTGTAAAACGACGAACCACTGTTGGGTGGTTTCTTAATTAAGATATGCTTGCCATCCAATGCACCAAAGCAGTGTGGAAATTGCCATATCTGTTCGAAATCTTTAGGTATCAATTTCCACATTTCCATTGTGGGTTGAGGCAAATACAATGTTTGCATTGTATTCCATATAGCGATTGATACTTCATTTACTATGTTTGAAACCGTTCGATCACTCATTCTGTAACTGTACGCAATACTTTTATAGCTACATAGGCGGACATTTGGTTCAATTTTTAGGGGGGCTATAATAATCCAATGTAAAGTGGACCGCAGGGGCTTCGCCCCCGCACCCCCACATGCTATAAACATATAACTAATACAAATATTAATAGCTATAATAGCTATCTCCTGATGCTAAATATCTGTAAATAAATAAATTTTGCAAATTACAATAGATACTATAGTTTTATACAAATGTAACATAACTTCAAACGTTCATTAAAAATATTTATGGAATATGTTTTAACTTTTTTTTATAATTAATTTAATCACAACTTATGTAGGACCTTGTATTGAAATTTCAAACTTTATATTAAAAATTTTATGAATTTTAGATTCTGAACGAAGTGATGAATATATTGATTTTACAATGATGTGTTTTTTTTKTTTTTTTTTTTTTTTGTGTGTCTGTGTACAGCATAACTAGTCGAAATAATGCTTCAATTTCAAACTTCGGGGGTGGTTTCCGATGACAAAGTGAATATCCTTGATGCATTATAGAGGTCAAAATTAAACATTTTCTCACAGTTTTCAAAAAAATCGAGAAAAACAAAAAAAAGTGACGGAAAAACGCGAATTATAATACGCAAAATAATAATGATCTAGAAGCACCAACATCAGAAATTGATAATGAAATACACGTAAACAAAAATAGTGAACATGATATAAACGTAGACGAAACTGAAGATTCTGTTGAAGGTATGACAAATATTACACAATCATTGTCGTTCCAGAAATCGGGTTTTAAACAACCGTTCAAAAAAAAAAAGATGACATAAGTAACTTACTCCAGCAATCAATAGCAAGTCGAGAACAAAGGGCAAAAGAGAGAGCGCTGGAACGTAAGAAGTTAGAGGATTCGAAAACCCCAAATAATCCATTGTACCATTTTTTCATGTCAATGCACCACACTACACAAAAATTGTCACCAGCATCTCAATATTTCATAAAAAATGAATTATATAAAGCAGTTTCAAAAGCCGAGGCTAATCTCTTGAATATTCCAACAACATTTCAACAAACAATCCATGAGCAACCTCGGTCTACTGCTGCGTGGAGTTATGAACAGAACTCATCTTTAAGTTCCCACGAAACTTCTTCGTCTGACACTTATTACGTGAATACACAAACTTGTGAAAACAGTAATGACATGATAAATTATATTAGCAATTTTTCTGAATGAATTAGTTTGAGTTACTTCATTTTTATTTTTTAGTTATATCAATCATATTTTGTGTACTTTTTAATAATTTAAAATAAAGTATAAGTCTACTTTGGTATTGTATATTTTATTAAAAACGGTCTATTTTTTAATAATTTAAAATAAAGTATAAGTCTACTTTAGTATTGTATATTTTATTAAAAACGGTCTATTTTTCAATAATTTAAAGTAAAGTATAAGTCTACTTTAATATTGTGTATATTATTWAAAACACACAATATATAAAAATTTTTTTTTTATAATTAATGCGAATTAACTTTATGATATATGTATATTKTTTTTTTTATTTGAATTTTTAAATAAATATTTAAAATCTTACCTTAAGAACACAGCGAGTTTTTCTTCAGGATCAATAGGTCTTTGAGCATTACCCCCTTCAGAAAAAATAGTATCCTTTATAATATGGAGAACTTCATGAAATTGACATTTATTTAAGCGGAAGTAATTAGTAAATTGTTTTTCAGATAATTCCGTTGTCAAAACAAATTCTCCGTGACTCTTTCTTTTTTTCATAAAATCACTATTTCGCGACTTTTTTCGTTTAATTAAAGAATATAAAATCAATTCATTCAATTCCTCGTCAGAATCGGATTCCGAACTTAAGTCTAACTTCAATAATTCGTGAGCCATCATGTCGATCTCAAATGTTTTCATCGAATGACTACACGAAACTGCGTTAAAATATTGTGTAGTAATATTCGCTCACACGGGTCACGCAGTTGGGTCCTACGCTGACTTGTGCTGCGCTGCGCTGCATCGCCTACGTCTCAATTTGCGCCCTGCCTAATAGCTGTTAACTGTACACATGGTAACGCGCGTTGGATGGCGACGCGCGTTCAACGCAGTGATAACGCAAAAAACCTGTCAACGCGCGTCAGCCCAAGTTGACGCGCGTTTGAACATTGTACAGTTTTGCATTGACGTGTTCATTTGCAACGCGCGTTTTGAAGCGATAGGTTCTTGTTTTTCGATATTTTCGTTTGTCTTTTCGAAAAAGTTTTCTAAAAAATCAAAAATGGATAGTGAGGAATTTGATACTGATTTATTCATCGACGAAATTGAAAAAAGACCCCCAATTTGSGATATGACAAGTAGTGAATATTCAAATAAAATCAGTAAAAGAAAGGCTTGGGAAGAAATTGTTCTAATTTTTAGTGACCCAAGTGACACCGAAGAAAGAAAAAAATTCCATGGTAAGTATTATTAACTATTTTGTATTTTATAATTTGATATAACATTTAAATTCAATTAAATATATAATATAGACATAATTTATTTTGTTTCATGTTTTTTTTTGGAAAAAAATTCTATACATAAATTAATTATTTAAAACTATTATTAAAAAAAATACATATTGTTTGTTTTTAAAATAAAGTTTTATATACATTGTTGTACATCTATTTACTACTAAAAATTAATATAACTATTAAAATATTTTGTACCTATGTATAAATTTATATCATACGGTTTTGCCATTCGACGCTTCCTTCATTGGTGAAATAATCCATAAATTTGGCTCGAACATTATCTCCTACTCGTTAGCGCGTCCAGTTGTACATATTTCCAGTTAAACTTGATAGAGGTGCTGTAAAAAATGTATCTACATAACTGCAGCCATCTCGTGTTCTTACATAATTGTGGAGTACGCAAATTGATTTCACAATATATTCTGCAAAATCGATGTCCACGTCTAGTGGACGATGTAATATCCGCCATTTATTACTAATAATACCAAAAGTACACTCAATGTATCTTCGTGCTAACGTTAAGCGATAATTAAAAACTTTTTTTTTCGTACGATAATAACTTTCCACCGTATGGACTCATTAAGTTCTCCAACATACCGAAAGCTTCATCAGCTACTATGACATATGGCAATATGGTTTCATCTGAATTGTTAATAGGACTTGGATCAGGAATATTCAACGTTTTTTCAGTTAGTTTTGAATATAAAGTGGATTCTTTGAAAATTCCTGAGTCACTATTTTTACCATAAGCACCAATGTCCACCCAAGTAAAACAATAATTAGCATCGCATAATGCCAATAAAACAAGCGAAAAAAAAATGTTTATAATTATAATAAAGCGAACCAGAATTTTGTGGTTGTATCATACGTATGTGTTTCCCGTCTAGTGCTCCAATGCAGTTTGGAAATTTTGCATGTATTTCAAATCCTTTAGAAATTTCTATCCACTTATCCTTAGTGGGTTCCGGCATGACCATATTTTTCAATTTTCTCCAAATCACTTCACAAACACGATGAATAATACCAGACGCAGTAGACTTTCCAATCTTATATTCATAGTGTAACTCACTAATAGAACACCCACTTGCTAAGTATCTGTAAAATCCATAATATTAATTTTTAAATTTATGATATTTTTATATATTATAGGGGCAACATTACAAAAAAAATGGAAAAGTCTTCGTKATAAYTAWKTAAGGRAATCAAAGAAATGTAAAATTGTTAAATCAGGATCGGGAGCAAAAAATCTACATATATACATTTTGAGAGATTAAGATTTTTGCAAAAATCGATTGAAAAAAATATTACTGAAAGTAGTTTCTGTGCAAACGACGAAAATTCAAAAAGATCTGCCGATACAAATGATGAAAATGAAACTTTCAAATCTCCCAACAACATCCAATATAGAAGCACAAAAAAATTAAAACTTAGCCCAGCTGACGAGCATTTTGCTAATTTACTAGAAAGAAGTATAGCTCAAAAGCAAGTTCCAGAAAAACAAGAAGATGAWGAAGACAAACTATTTTGTTTGTCCTTATTGAAAGATATCAAAAAAGTACCAGAAACCAAACGTCTGAAACTCAAAATTGATATATATATATAATTTAATACTACAAAATCAAACAATATCACCACCTAGTAGWTATCACTCTCCAATGTATAATCACCAATACATGCCAAGTAACATTGTATACCCAAACTATGATACTACTACATAATATGACACACCCGCACGCAGACATCATCAAGATTATACTACTGTAGAGAAAAACAATTATCAACATCAATTGACTTCATTATCTTCACCTTCTCCAACACCATCAAATGTCAGTGAAGTTTCTCAAGAATCAATTATGGATTTATTTGAAGAAAATTATTAACAAGTTTATAGTATAAAAAGTATTAAATACAATTTTTAATATTAATTATGTAAAAATCATTAATAAATAAGTTTTCATTTTTAAAAATGTTTTAGTTTCAAAGTATATTTCAAGTTAAAGTAATTTGTTATGTTTGTAAAATAAAAATTAAAGTACATACCTCAGAGTTATTATAAGTTTTTCTTCAGGTGAAATGCAATACCTAATTGCACTTTCATCAGCAGTAAGTTCTCCCTTTATTAGTTCCAACAAGTCATCAAAAGATTGAATTGACATTCTGAAGTAGTTGAAAAATTTAGGTTCATAATTCCTAAGACTCGGATAAAGCGTAATGTATAAGCTTGAGGTAAGTCTATTTTGTAAAATAGGATGAACCCAATATTTTCATGCTTTTTGTCTACGACGCAGTCTTCTTCGATACAGTATCCATAAACAAATCGCATCTGCAACATCCATCTTCGACAGAATACAATACTCGATTGACTACGGTATAAGCGCACATTTAATTCGCGCGTAAATTCAGTAATGTGAACAGTGGTAACAATGTCGGCGCGCGTTTAACGCCTCTCATGTGAACTAGCCCTTAGTAGTATGTATGTTCACAGCCAG